TCATATTATGGGGCCAACAGTAACTGCCTAAAGCTGATAAATCAATACATATATAATAATCCAGAATTATGGAGAAGTAAATCCAGAATGAAAAGAGGTTTATCCAGAGTGTGGGGCTTAGGATGAGTTTGGAATCTGTTGCTTTCTACCATTAAGTCCTTTATTTTTGATTTCCTATCATTTGTACTTAAGGAAAAATTAAATCCTGAGTTTGAAAATGGGTTAAATGTAGAAGTGACACAATTGCCACAGTATTTCTACTTTCTAACTTTTTAGGTCTTAATTTGGACAAACTAAGAAGGCTGTGTTTTAAATTAAGCAATAATAGTGTTCTTGTTCTAATGGTGCAATATTTCATGTTTCCTCTGACTAGCTTGCATAGCTAGGGGCAGAATCTTTAATCCTTGAGGAAATGAATTACTGCCAAAGACAGTGAAGCAAAGCTGCCATTGTCCTTGGAGTTTTAAAAGTGTCCCAGTGTTCAGAACTTTTGAAGTATTTTTGCAAAAGTATACCAGCTCTCTTTGGGGGAGAACTTGAATATATGAAACGGGTGTGGCTTACTTGAAGAATTTTGAAATAACCTTGTGTTCATAGCATGATAGTGAGTCCTGAGTCTTTGTGCCCACAGCTCTGATTATACTCCAAAGATCACTCTGATTATACTCCAAAGATCTGAATTTATATCATATCCCCAGTTACTGTTAAACTTATATCGTTAGATTTTTACATTCCATTTAAGAATTTCAATGTTTATTTCTTATCTTTAAAGATGATATTGTGGTTTATGAGTTTTGCCTATTAAGTGTGGGTTTCTGATATGTTGAAATTCCAAGGCAGTTTTTATTTCAGTGCAGCTTTAAAATTCAGTGGAGGTCATTGTCCACTGGCCGGTTGTGAAATGATCTTAGTTCACACCCAGATTCTTGCCATGTGTTTAGTTTTTCTTGCCTTGACTGGATATGGGAATAGACCTCTTAGGCTCTGCTCTGTTAATTTCCACCACTTCCCTACAAATGCCCTAACTCATATCCCTTGGTCCCTGTCACTCTGAAGGTCGAGTTGTCACATAGCTCTTACTTCTTTCATACGTACTGGGACGGTCAGTAATGAGTGCTGCCACTGCCCTGGTCCTAGGAGTTGCTGCAAGCATCCTGGTGGTGCCCAGAGAGTACCTGCTTTTCACACTGAACCATCTAGGTGGCCTGGGTCCAGTTTTTGGCGTTTAAGGGCCTTGGAGGGAAAGGGAAGAAAGCTGGAATTTGAGCATAAATTGGATTTTGTGTGGGCTGAGGGTCTTCCTAGGTGTAGACTGTCCCTGCTGGACCTGTACCCACTGTGCTAGCTCAGGAGCCAACTGTGTTCTGAACAGCTTAGACCAGCACCCAGACCCTAAATGACCTAGATTAGGAAGTAGATAGGTTGTTCTCTGCTGTCATTGTTTGGACACAGCTCTGTTTACCTTACTTATTGTTCCTGCTCCCCATAGCCTCAGCTAATGGGCTGTGTTCTCCTGCCTTTAAGGCTGGTTCCAGGCAGAATTTAAGAGCCTTTGCTTATTTCCTGAACCAGGGAGTACAGCTTTACCTTGAAGATGAAGGCACCTCCAGTTGCAGAATGTGGTTGGGGTTACTGTGTTCTCTCATCAAGGTGTTTTACCTTACCTTTCGATAATGGGTTCTGCCACCTTATCGCGGTGGGTTGCAGGAGACCAGGTGCAACCGGAGCAGGGGCGCCCTCTGCTGCTGGGTGTCTGCTCTTCTTCCCACAGCCGCCCAGGGGATTTGTGAGGGGCAGTGGAACACCCCTGCTTCCTCCATCCCCTGCAGGACCACCCCACGTGGAGGAAGGACAGTGCCAGGACCATGTGCAGGCAAAGCCTGCCCAGAAGCAGTGCAACAGCTAAAGTTATTCTCCGTGGGTACGTTTCTCTTGTTGCTTGCAGGTCTCTTCTCGAATCTGTTGTTGTTTTCCCCCAAACCACCCTGCTGCCCCCATCCTTCCGTGTGGTCTGCTGTCATCTGCAGTAGCCACCGCATGTAAGACACGAAGACCTCTTCTGCAAGAGCTTGGTGTGGGCATTTGTGAAATTTTGTCACCACACCCCCTGTAACCAGCCAACAAATTCGAGTTAAATGCCTGTTCTTTGTCCCACACATATTAGTTACAGAGAGTGGAGAACAAGTAGCAGATAGTGGCTGGGGGAAGCCAACCCACTCTGAGGGACTGGGCATGTGAATGGGACAACATCTACAGCTTTTTTTAAACCACAGGACACCCAAAAGCAGCTGTACCCTGCAGGGCATGGCAGGCTGCAGAAGCCTGGGTCTCAGGGTCTCTGACCCTTTATCCTTTAGCGCTGCTGACCAGGCTGCCGATCCTCGACCCCTTCTTGTCACCCCATCGTGTGCTTCTCCCTTTCCTCTGGCTCTTTCCCTTGCAGCCTTTGCATGTGCTGTGCTCCTTACCTGGCCACCTCCAGCCCCACTGTCATCTCTTCCTCTCTAGCAGATGCTGGTGCCCACAGCACTCTGTTCCGTCCTCTCATTACCTCTAGCTCCCTGTGGTTTCATGACGTCATGACCTGTTCACGGATCAGGCTTCCCCAGGCCAGAGATTGAGGAGTGGGGGCAATTCCTTATTCATCCTAGGAGGCTCTTCATCAGTGTTTGTTGAGTGAATACGTGAACGAATGTGGGAATGGCGTAAACAGGAAATAAGCCCTGTGTCTGCCTTAGGTAACTTGGGTGTGGGTGAGAAGAGGAAGTGGTTAGAGAAGACACACCGTTAAGACAGTGGGACTCCTGTGCTGCTTTTTCTAAGGCTTCTCTTTGCTGGTGGTTACCTTTACAGGAAATCTCTTACCCAGCCTTCACCCAACTGCAATAATGTTTTCCTTCCTTCCCTCTACTTATCTCTATTATCTTAACTTTATCAACATTATCAACATACAGAACAGTTTTGATTGTGATGTTTTATTTGTGTAAGTTTTGCCCTTTCAACTAGGTTGTAAACTTGAAATCCTGGGTTTTACTTCCTAAGCAGCTTTGTAAAGAAATGGAGACAACATTGCACCAAGGTAATTTTTGTCATGGCCACCCACTAGCTGTGAGATCTTGGGGGATGAGTAATGAAGCTCCTCAAGGTCTCTGTTTCTTTATCTGTAAAATTGGAGGACTGGTCTCTCTCAGGGGCTTCCAGTGTGAAAAAGTCCTGGGGTTCTGGGCCTCTGATCCTGGCACCCCACTTATCCCTTCCAGCGCCCACCACATGACTCCACCTCTGACATCTGCCAAGTACAGTAATTGAACACATTCACCTCATAGTCTGGGCCAGTTCACCTCCCAGGTACTTGTTTGTTGGTGTTCCTGGGATCAGGGACATCACTGGAATAGGTGTGGGGCAGACCTGTGGGGACCCTGTGGCCCCAGCCTTGCCTCTGTCCTCTGTCAAGAAGGTTCAGGCACCAAGGACACTGCTCCAGTTCTGTGTGTCAGTTCTGTACCTTGGTGTGTGCTGTTTTGTTCCTTCAAATGTAGGGTGAGTTTGGAGGTGGAGGCTGACTCTGACTGTCTAGGGATCTGGGAGGAAGGACAGTGCTGGGGCTATGTGTTCTCCATGAGCCACCCCTCCTTCTCTGTCCGGGCATCATCTAGCTCCCCTTCCCTGCTTTCCTGCTTTCCAGGTACACTTGCCTCCCATGGCACCTGCTGCATGATAATGGTTTAAAAAAAAAATGTTGAATCCTTTATTGGAATGATTCCTTTATTGGAACCCAACAGGCATGAAGGTAATAGAGACTATTTGGTTTGTATTTTCACTTGTTTTGCTTTTGCGTCTGAGATTTGTGGGTTTCTTGACGGCCAAGAGTGGCTTGTTTTCTGTTGTAAGAGGTTGTTGTTTGTACAGGTTCGTGTTTCCAGTCCTTTCCTCAGCTCCAGCCTTGTTTCCAAAACTCTCAGCTCTTGGTTTATCTCTGTCCAGTCAGGTGTGTGTTCTTTGTCTTTGTTTCTTGTCCTAGTTGTTCCATGAGTCAGCCAGGCCTCAAAGATTGTGTAAACCTATGGTGAGTAAAGCTGTTAGCAAAAGAGACCTAGCAACAAGGTCGTTGGGTCTCTAAAGAGCCGTCCAGCTGTGAGATGGTGAAATTTTAAGGACTGTGGATTTGGATTGGGGGCCTCCTTATAGGAGATAAAAACACGCGGTTGGAGAGAAGAAGGAATATTACAGTGCCTAGTACATAAGTGGAGCTACCCCAGTTGTCCCTGAATCCTTTGTGGGAGATTGATAGGATGAGAGAGGACGAACTCTTGTAAGGAAGTAAGAACTGACTTGGAAGAACAAAAATCAACTTGTACACCTCAAATATATCTGCTTTTTATTTGTCCATTCTACCCTAATAAAACTGGAGGTAAAAAAAGAATTGGAAAGAGGCCAAGGCTGCAAGTGAATAATTCAGTTGAGTTGTATCTTACTTACTGTTTAGGTTCTCCCAATCAGTGTATAAACTGAAAATCTAAGATACAGTCAGAATTACTCTCAAACTACCTCAGGAAGGCACAGTGTTAGAAACTGACATATTATTGCTTATTACATTTGGTGTGGCCATTTTTTCCTCCCATTGTCACAAGTATTTGGTTTCTTCTCTTGAGTTTCATGTGATATCCCTGGCATCATAGGGGCTTAGAGGTTGTATTCTATGAAGAGGGTGTGTTTTAAACACCAGATCATACCCAGCAGGAAATGCTGATACCATCAGAGACAGGCCTCTTTTCCCCGTTTTGGTATCCCCTCTTTGGCCTCCCTGTGTAGTTGTGTTTGTGCGTTTTACGTGAACCAGCCATAGGAGTCTACGTTTGTTCTCACTCACTGCCTAAGCTGTGGAAGAATTAGTGGACTCCTAGACAAAGAATAATCCCATTATCTCCTAGTTCGGACTGATTTACCTGTTAAATGTATATTAAATTCACATCTCCAAATTGTTTCTGTTTCATCAACAGGTTGCTCGTGGGGGCCCCGCGGGCAGAAGCGCTTCCACTGCAGAGAGCCAACAGAACTGGAGGGCTGTACAGCTGCGACATCACCGCCCGGGGGCCATGCACGCGCATCGAATTTGATAACGATGGTGCGTTCCTGTCCCTCACTCAGCCTTCACTCCGGCAGCTTGCCCGTACTTTTTCCCTGAGGGAGGAGAGTGGGGACAAACATTTATTCTTGTAGAGAGAACCTCTTTCAATTGCATCAACCTTGACTGTTTTTTATTTGCCCTGAAAATACTTACTTTACTTTCTAAATCATACTGGGATGCCGTCTGTTTTGCTGTTCCTCCTAACCATGGTTACTAAACCAATGTGGTGTAGGGATGTTGCCACCTAGTGATGTGTTGAGATTCTGCAGGGGGTCGTGGAAAAACTGATTTCATAGCAATGAAGAGAATGAATGAGCGTATCTTGTATTCATCAGCCAAAAGTTCTCACATGCTGTTAAACTATTTGGGAGAAAGACAGTTTTAAATATCAGACCCCTTTGAAATGAGAGCTGGCTAACAGAGATAAAGTTTTCCCTACTGTCTCGTATAGAGACTTGTTTTGTTAAGGACTCTGGATAGGTAGAAGATACCATGAGGTAGGCATGTTGACATCCAGTGTACCTGGCTTCTTATAGGTTGAGCAGAGCTATTAGTGTACTGAGAAGCTCTAGCCAAACCTCATTTGATATGCTCGGTCTAAGTAGATTTGCAGATTCGTGTTTATGTTCTTCTCTTGCTTCTTCATCTTTTAGAAATAACATTCGTTGGCCAGGCACGGTGGCTCACACCTGTAATCCTAGCATTTTGGGAGGCCGAGTTGGGTGGATCATTTGAGGTCAGGAGTTCAAGATCAACCTGGCCAACATGGTGAAACCCCGTCTATACTAAAAATACAAAAATTAGCTGGGTGTGGTGGTGCACGCCTGTAGTCCCAGCTACTTAGGAGGCTGAGGCATGAGAATTGCTTGAACCTGGGAGGCAGACGCTGCAGTGAGCCAGAATCGTGCCACTGCACTCCAGCCTGGGCGACAGAGCAAAATACATCTCAAAAAAAAAAAAAAAAAAGAAGAAAAAGAAATAACGTGTTCATTTATTAGAAAATAATATGTGTTAATTTTAAGAAACTGGTAAAATACACCTATGAAGAATAAAAAACAAAATCCACTGACAATCTCAGTATATAGACTTATTTTTTAACATTTTGGCGTTTTTCCCTCTGGCTAAAGTTGTTTAGTTTCATATTTTTGTAATGATTCAAGATTAAAACTTGTATCTGTGTTACTGCTCATCCAGGAGTGCAAAAATTTGGATATAGGTCACACAGTGGGTTTAAATTGATACTGAAATGAGCACATGGTGGTGGTTGTGGTCCCCCTCTCTCTGACTAACAATAACTCGCCTGTTTGGCATTGATACATTGTCAGCTACAAGATCCTAAAGTAAATCTGAGTCTTTTTCTCCCATCTCCAGTAAAGAACATTTAATGCTGTTACAGAAAAAAATTGGGGAGTATATAGAGAAGTACCCATTTTTTTTGTTAGTTTAGATGGTAGCTGGAGTTTTGAATACTAGATTTTACATTGTTGCCTTTAGAGATGTATTTTGGAGGGCTCCCTTAGTCTTACACTTTCACTTACCTTCTGCATTCAGGACCCTGGGTATGAAGAGAGGGCAAAGGGTATTGTTGGACAAAATAGGTGACTATATAGAGTTAAGTATTTTATGTTTCAAATTTTTGAAAGATTTTTACCAAAAACCACTTTTCTGTTTCCTTGAGATGACAAGTAATTTTTCTGGATTGAGTAACTGAATTTATCGAGTAGCTAGACTCAGAGTCAAGGCCATTTGGAAACAGTTGCTTGTATTTTTGTTCAGTGATGGTTTCTAGCATGTGCAGTCACTTGGAAGGCTAACTGTGCTCCTTTTTACAGCTGACCCCACGTCAGAAAGCAAGGAAGATCAGTGGATGGGGGTCACCGTCCAGAGCCAAGGTCCGGGGGGCAAGGTCGTGGTAAGTGTAGAGACACATGTTCATCCTATACTGTTGGACTGCTGGTTACATGCCAGCACCAGGCTTACAGCAGGGGACAAAGCAGGGAGCATACATTCTAGCGAACTTACTGCTTTAAAGCAGGAATGGATGTTAAGAAGAAATCAGGCTGGGTGTGGTGGCTAACGCCTGTAATCCCAACACTTTGTGAGGCTGAGGCGGGTGGATCACCTGAGGTCAGGGGTTTGAGACCAGCCTGACCAATATGATGAAACCCCATCTCTACTAAAAGTACAAAACTTAGTCAGGCATAGTGGCATGCACCTATAATCCCAGCTACTTGGGAGACTGAAACAGGAGAATTGCTTGAACCTGGGAGGCGGAGGTTGCAAGAGTGAAACTCTGCTCAAAAAAAAAAAAAAAAAAAAGAAGAAGAAGAAGAAGTAATCAAAGCCTTATTTCTCCTGTGATTCCTGATATACTTTGAAGCAATCACACAACCTACTTTTCTTTAGAACTTTCAGATTTGAATAACTTATTAAAGAACCTTTACTATATATTCCTAAAACTCTAGATGGTATTAAAAACAAAACAAAACTAGACATCATTTCTATCCTTGGAATTTTATAGCTTTATAGATAGTAAAAATATGGGCATGGTCTTGGAAAGTAATAACCAGGTAATTTTAAACTCTTGTTATTTATTCTGAGTTTTTTCAAATAGAAGGGATAGCAAAGAAAAGAGGGTTCGTTAGGTGGATTGGGCTAGATGGTCATGGCAATGTCTTCCTGGTTGGAATATGATAATCTTTTTGTCTCCTTCAAAATGTGGTTGCTGTAATGAAATTTACACAGAATTTTGAGGAAAATACTTTAGTGAACATTGAGTTTTGATATTTGAGGAATGACACTTATGGGAAATTGAGTCGATATTATATTTTTAGCCTGTGTTTACATGGAGGGTAGCCATGCATACCCTGTAGAAGTTATAGAGATTATTTCTATCTCTTCTGGTCTTGTAATTCTCTCTGCCTTGTAAAAGTAGGCATATTTTGGGAAATAATCTCAGAGCTCAGGGTGTGAGTTAGGACTGAGTTCAAGGAAATAGTGTGGGGAAAAGGAGATGTCTTTGTTTTAGCTGTATTTGTTTGATCCCTATGAAAACAGGTCCATGATTTCTCTCCTCTAGAACACAATTACCCACTTTCACACTGATGTTCTCAAGGTTAATACAGCCACTAGAAGCCAATTTGAATTCAGAAAATGAAATAAGGTGTTTCCCTTTGTTTATGTGACAGGTAAATTTACAAATGAATTGCCTATGGATACAGATTGTCATTCAATACCTGGATTGGAGCATTATTCTCAGTGAGAATAAGACACATTCTAGTTTCTATATGCCTTGATAATGGTCTTCTTAGTGCCACTTTGGGGAATATTTGCTGGTCTGGGATCCAGTCCCAAGATGAGGACATGCTTAATCATCCTTTTTAGAATTAACCTCTGTATTGACCATTTTATCTATATGTAATTTTTTAAAAACAAGGTTTATAGACAAGAATGGGCTACTTTCTTCCATCTGCTTGCAGACATGTGCTCACCGATATGAAAAAAGGCAGCATGTTAATACGAAGCAGGAATCCCGAGACATCTTTGGGCGGTGTTATGTCCTGAGCCAGAATCTCAGGATTGAAGACGATATGGATGGGGGAGATTGGAGCTTTTGTGATGGGCGATTGAGAGGCCATGAGAAATTTGGCTCTTGCCAGCAAGGTGTAGCAGCTACTTTTACTAAAGACTTTCATTACATTGTATTTGGAGCCCCGGGTACTTACAACTGGAAAGGTATGACCTTTGTATTTATAGAAATAGAGATTAGAATGTCTTCCTAATTTCTGTAATATGATTTTGTACCATGATTTAGTACATTTTGAGCTAAAATGTGTTAGAAGACATTTGTATATTATGAAAGTTGGGTAGGCTATTAAAAATCTCTAAACAATATGATTTTTAAAAGCTAATAATAGTGGAATGTATGTTTTATTGTTGACATTCTTTTCTCCTCTACCAGTACTTTAATTCAGGTAGTTAACTTTTTTAAGTAGGAATATAATAATTAACATTAGTATTTTTTGCTGTTTTATATTTGTGTGGCTCATGAAGCTAGAAGTGTTAATTTTAAGTTAGTGATCTGAAAACTTAGGAGAATTAAATAATGGTATATACAAATAACAGTGTATTAACATGGACATTAATAACTGTATTAATATGGACATTTCTCTCTGTATGTGTTATTTTCAAAGGCCATGCTTTGCTAATAATTCAGTAAAGTTAGAAGGGCAGATTACAGACAAATTGGGGAATTTTGAGGTATAATTTCAGATATGTGAGGAAAAGTTGTTTGATTATTGTGATGTGAGTAAATGGAGATGTGGAGAGGTAAAGAGGAAAATGGCCCACATTTTTTGACTATGTGAACCTGGTCAGTTCCTGCTAAGCAGTTTAACTTCTCTGAAGAAATTAAGCAGGCATAGAAAATGCTGTATCATAAAAGACAATTAACCTGTCATCCATGGTGAAGAGAACTGCAGCTGATTTGAAAATAAGCCATTTTTGAGAAATTTATTAATGTAAGTCACATAACACTTTCACTCATCAGGGAGAACTTAGGAAAATGTTCCCCTTTCCATTAAAAAATGTGTTTTAATTCTGGTTCTAAATGAATTTTCAACACCGTTCTCTGTGTGCAATCTTCAAGGGTAATTTCCCTTTGCCCCCCACCTCACCCCAACAGGATCTTCATGTACAGTATTTCCCAGGTTATTTTGACCTAACTGAAATTACATGTTGAATTTAGTTTTATTTTAGCCTGAATAAATGCCATATACGGTAAAACAAAACAAAAACATCCACCAATTATGTATATTTTAATTCACGGAAAATATGGTTTTCTTGCTTTATAAACCCTGACCTAAAATGTTGCCATTTAAAGTCATATAGTGATTTGGGCTTACTATATGAAATCTTATGTTTTAAATTACTAATTGTAAGAATATTTAGAAGATGAAATCTTGGTTAAAGTGACTGAAGAAAAGATCAATATGTCTCACTTTTACACTGCTGAAAAAGGACAACTTGAGGCGGGATTACAGAGAACGTAAAATATATGTATCAAGTTCATGTCATTTAAAAATTTGTTCTCTGTAGGTTTTGTTAACTAAGCAAACCTTCTATTTTTCATCTAGTTTCATGGCATTATAAAGACAGTTCATGAAAATGCATGGGACATTTTTTAATGACTCAAATTTCTTTCTCATAAAAATTTACGCAAACATACTTAACAACCATAAAAGTCATCTCTGTCCTTCCTTTTTTTCCTTCAAATTTTTTTCCCTGTAACTAGTGATAGCATGGGGGATGTTTATTAGGAACCATTTATTTTCTTTTGTTTCATCTTCATTTTTTGTTGTTGTTTTTACCATTTCATTCCTTTAGGGATTGTTCGTGTAGAGCAAAAGAATAACACTTTTTTTGACATGAACATCTATGAAGATGGGCCTTATGAAGTTGGTGGAGAGACTGAGCATGATGAAAGTCTCGTTCCTGTTCCTGCTAACAGTTACTTAGGTAGGAGCAGGCACAGATGGCTGCCTTTGCCCACCTTCTCAGATACTTTGTGTGAAACTCCCTCGCAGGGCCTACTGCCCCTGGACTTCTAGGCTGAGAAGAGGCCAGGTGGGGCCGGGCCCTGTGGCCACTTTTGCTGCAACTTGATAAGCTTGGTGATCTAGAGGCGTTATTAACCTGACCGATGCCTGGGATCCTTTCTTTCTGACCGGGGCTCCCTCAAAGGGGGGAAGAAACCTATTATCACCTAAAATCGTCCGTCCTTCTTCCTGCTTGGAAGTCTGTCTCTTGAGCTAATGGCGGCCTCCGTAACCTGAAACAGTTTGTTCATGCAGCCATGAAAATGTGCATGGGTGTTCACAGTAAGCTGAGCTCTTTGTTCAGTGCCTCTTTCCAGAGATACTCTTAAGAACTGCATTTAATAAAGTTACTCTTAAGTGGCAAGTCAAGACCTCCAGGTCCTCCCTCTGTGATTGTGGTTCTCCGAGGATTGGCCCTACTTCTGGATTGGGACCCCCATGTCACAGGGCCCCGCAGATGGATAAAAGCTTCCCAGTGGAGGTTGAGCAGGACTGCTAAAGCGGCTTTCAGGACACCCAGACTGTGTCTAAGGGCCAATTCCTTAACTCCTAAGGCTTGTTTGCATGACTAATGGGTGTCCTAAGTTATTCATGTGCATTATGGTAATTACACAAAGCCTTTTAAAAGCTTTAATTCTTGGTATGAGTTGACATAAAGAATAATTACTGTGGATTTCTTGGAAAAAATATAAAAAACTTCTAAATAGTAACCTGTTTTTTAAAAAAATGGAGAAAAGTACCCAGATGTTAGGGTATTACTGGAACAATGGAAGGTAAAAAATGAAAAAACAGGTATAGATATATGAATAATTTCAAACAATGTGCTAGTAAACACGCATTAAGAAGTTGTTCAGGCCCGGCCTGGTGGCTCACACTTGTAATCCCAAAACTTTGGGAGCCCAAGGTGGGCAGATTACTTGAGGCCAGGAGTTCAAGACCAGCCTGGCCAATTCAGCAAAACCCCTTCTCTACTAAAAATACAAAAATATTAGCCAGGCATGGTGGTGCACATCTGTAGTCCCAGCTACTCAGGAGGCTGAGGTAGGAGAATCACTTGAAACCTGCAAGGTTGAAGTTGCAATAAGCTGTGATTGTACCGCTGCCCTCCAGTCTGGGCAACAGAGCAGGACCCTGCCTCAGAATGTTTTATTTAGGGATTACTTATGACAAAAATTAATTGTAATTACACTGGCCAAGAAACCAATACTTTGGTCTTTAAGATGGATGGCTGTGGATTTTATAAATGTGCTTGCTGTCAGAACATACGAAAATATGAAGCATTTTTTCTGAAATACATTTGCCACTTATAGAATGGATTTCCTCAAAAGTGAATGCCTGAGAAAGATATCAAACTCATATTGTTACATTTGGCTTCTCCGTGCTGTGTGTGAATCTGTCACTTCAAAAGATCGGAGGGTTTGGGGGAATAAAATGATCCGCTTGAGGTTTTGGAAGCTGGCAATGAGAGCAGCTTGACGGATGCAGTGGTGGCCTCCTCATCCAGCGAGAACAGCAGTGGCTGTCCTGCCTCTTACCAAGCATAATTACTTTTTCTTCAATTTCTTCCGTCCCGTGCATGCGTACAGGCTTGCTGTTTTTGACCAGCGTTTCCTATACAGATCCTGATCAGTTTGTTTATAAAACACGGCCTCCCCGGGAGCAGCCTGACACATTCCCTGATGTGATGATGAATAGCTACCTAGGTTTGTGACCTTTGCGATGACAAATAAATTGTCTTGGTTGTGGTCATTAACATTTTTTTTTTTTGATCCATACGGAGCATAAATCTTTTTATGTCCTATTTTGTTTCCATTGAAGCACACACAAAAAGCATGCCATGGTTGGGGCTCTGTGGCCAGATGGCTGGATTCCATATTGCCCTCTCTAATCTGGTGGCTCATGTTTTTTAATTCACTTCACAATTTGAGAACTGTAACGGTAGTGGTGAAGTTTTTCATAAGTAAAACCCAACAAAGAGGGTGAGCTTATATTATTCTGCATCTGCTTCACCTTTCTATATAAACATTTACTTAATTTGAACGGTTTTGATATGGGCACTTCTATTTGCTTTTCACCAGATCTCTTATTTTTGTAATCTGACATCCTACCTGATGCTTTATAATGGGAGTGTCCTAATGTTTTCTGCCCTCTGAACAAGTATATAACTGATACCAATGACAACTTCCTCACCTCTGTTGTTTATACTAGGTTCTCAAATACCATGTATCATCAGTCATTGTTTTGTCTGCATGTTTGTGTCTGAGAACTAAGTTGGTCCAAAACAATGAAATGCTATCTATGGTGGTGATAGCGTTTGTTTTTGTCTGATTACCAAAGAGATTGATGCCTCTTACCAAGCTTAATTACTTTTTCTTCAATTTTATTTTATTCCTGTAAAAATACTGGCCATTAAATTATAGCAGAACCCTATATTATGCAGTCAATTATGCTTCAAGTCAGGTTGTATTCTCTGTGTAAATGATGTAACATAACCAAATTATTCCTAGACAATTCAGTATCTAGCTTGATCTCCTTTTACCATAGTTCTAATATTAAAATCAGGTGCAAATTGATTCTTAAGATGTATGAATACTTCAAAATTCAAGTTATACATAGGTTTTTTCATTGAAAGTCTTAATATCCATAGAAAGCAGTAAATTTGCTAGCCCTAGGACTTTGTCCTTGGGTCAAATCTGAACTCTGTCACTCATATTACAAATGTGATAGCTGGTGGGAAGGTCAGGAGGAGAGAGGGGTGGGAAGCCAGAGGAAGAGGTAATGATGGAGTTACCCATGTCATAGGCCTAAAATATATGGATTGATGTGAGGGGCTGTATATATTTTGTTTTTCTAGGTTTTTCTTTGGACTCAGGGAAAGGTATTGTTTCTAAAGATGAGATCACTTTTGTATCTGGTGCTCCCAGAGCCAATCACAGTGGAGCCGTGGTTTTGCTAAGGAGAGATATGAAGTCTGCACATCTCCTCCCTGAGCACATATTCGATGGAGAAGGTCTGGCCTCTTCATTTGGCTATGATGTGGCGGTGGTGGACCTCAACAAGGATGGGTGAGAATACCTCAGGTTATTTTATGCTGCAAATCATTGCTGCTTTGACTAGCTTCTGTAGGCCTTGAGAAGAGCCGTCCTTTCAGGTTGATTGATGTAAAGAATATTTTTACTGCCACATTTTTACCAACCCATCTTTATCATTTGTATGATGGCAGCAGACAGACATTCATCTCCTTCCCCCAGGGTATAGGATTATATTTTTGATTTTCAGTTTTACTTACATGTTGGGATTATGGGTCCATGAGAATTAAAATTTGAAAAAAATGAACTCAGAAAACACTTGCGTGATTCTGTTCTGTGGCTTCATATGGGGCTGATGGAGCATCAGCTCCTGTTGAAAATAGGGATTGGTGATAAAGTCAAAAACAGATCCATGGCTGTTGGTGCCAGTTGGGGTGGGGTAGAATAGTGAGGTCTTAATGGGAGTCCTGCTGCACTGTGGTTCTAACTTGAGGAACTTGCTTTGCGTTCTTACCCTTAGTATTTTTCTTGGGGCATTTTTTACAGGCTACCTTGGTTTTTAAAAAATGCTATAATTGAGTCATAAATTCTGGAGTTGAGGGCCTTTCTATTATATCTCTCTGTAACCTTAGTACCTAGACTGGTGTTGCTGGTATGTTAGCTGTTGGTTCATGGCTCTTTCCCCTCATTATGTTTTTAGGTGGCAAGATATAGTTATTGGAGCCCCACAGTATTTTGATAGAGATGGAGAAGTTGGAGGTGCAGTGTATGTCTACATGAACCAGCAAGGCAGATGGAATAATGTGAAGCCAATTCGTCTTAATGGAACCAAAGATTCTATGTTTGGCATTGCAGTAAAAAATATTGGAGATATTAATCAAGATGGCTACCCAGGTAGATAATAGATTATGAAATGGCTGTGATTTATAGATAGATTATTTGATTGTTTAAATAATAGCACTGCTGGGCACAGTGGCTCATGCCTATAATTCCAGAACTTTGGGAGGCCGAGGTGGGTGGATCACCTGAGGTCATGAGTTTGAGACCAGCCTGACCAACATGGGGAAACTAAAAATACAAATTAGCTGAGTGTGGTGGCACATGCCTGTAATACCAGCTACTCCCAGCTTTGGGAAGCTGAGGCAGGAGAATCGCTTGAACCTGGGGGACAGAGGTTGCGGTGAGCCAAGATTGCTCCATCGCACTCCAACCTGGGCAACAGGAGCGAAACTCCATCTCAAAAAAAAAAAAAAAAAAGCCAAACGAATAAATAATAGTGCTTATGTCATCTTACTTTAAAATATTGTACTGGAGTGTTTCTAAAGTGTTTCTTAAAATGTTAAAATGTCATGTTGTCAACAGATATTGCAGTTGGAGCTCCATATGATGACACGGGAAAGGTTTTTATCTATCATGGATCTGCAAATGGAATAAATACCAAACCTACACAGGTAACCACATAACCTGGATTTCTACAGCTACAGTCTCAACTTTTTGCCCTGTAATAAAATATTTAGGTTTAAGTGACTTTTCACACAAATTTTATTTACAAATCCACAATAGTATAGATTTTTAAAAAATGTATTACTAGAAGATACCTTCAGAAAATATAAATGCAATTACTTGCTTGTTCTAATTGTAAAATTTCTTAGATATCTAAGTTAGGAATCAAAGTAATCCAAAGCAAAAGAATGTTATTCTACCCTGATGGCATAAAGAGAGGAGATGTGATATATTCTCTTTAGTAGCGTAGTAAATAGAGATGAAACTGGGCAAACAAAATAGATTACTGTAACTACATGGAGGACGTAGATACAAAAAATTAAAAATTTCTTTTGAGAAAAATAAGACTTGTAGGGAGGGTAGGGAGATTTGGTTTGAAATGGCCTGACTGACTTAATACAATAAACAAGCTCATCAGAAATGGGGTCTTTTATGCTTTGAGAGACTGTGTAAATCAGATGACTTTTATGAAATTAAATGTATGAAGTGTTAGATCATGTAGATATTTATGACTCGTATATAATTTCATATAATTTACTTATAAGTGAACTCTCAAATTCCAGTTCAAAAGAAACTTATGTGTCTTTTTCAAAGCATAGTTAAGAAGCTCATGTTGCAAGCATAATGTCCATTTGGATGACCTCTGTATTTCAGGTTCTCAAGGGTAAATCACCTTATTTTGGATATTCAATTGCTGGAAACATGGACCTTGATCGAAATTCCTACCCTGATGTTGCTGTTGGTTCCCTCTCAGATTCAGTAACTATTTTCAGGTCTGTTATCTGTGATTTTAGTGTTAAGCATGTTCTATAATCAGGTTACACTAAAATATTGACCTTTTGGGTTGAAATTTGTCATACTTACACTTCAAAGGTTTATATGAATTGCAAAGCTATTTCTTTGTCTTTTGAAGGTAGTAAACAATGTAATAAAAACCTGTTTTCTAAAATCTTTTAAAGTACTTGAGGAAAACAGATCCAATTTTGATGAAAAAACAAAACACATATAAAACATGACAGTACAAAGAACATACAGAAGGAAACCCCCTATAATTCACCATGCATTATTAAACTCCAAGATCTTGATTTCTATTTTTATTTTCTGTGATTGTACCATGTATATTTAACAAAATTAAGATCATAATTGTGCATAATTTTGTAACCTGCTTTTGTCTCTTTAGAATACATAGTGGACTTCTTCTATGTCACTGAGTACTTTTCCAAAATGAAGTTAACAATTGTCTATGAGGCATCTTCTGACTGGTTCAGAGCTTATTTAACCAACTGCTGGGCTCTCACTGGATGGTTACATTGCTTCACAATTTTTTTTTTGCCCCCATGATATAAAAAGCTGTGGAAAACATTCTTACTTTTGTTTATATCCTTGATTATTTCCTTATTATAAATTCCTGGATGTGAAATTGATATATGTGCTTCAAGTCTTTTGATTCGGTTTCACCAAGATGACCTCCTGAAAGGGTGTGACATTTCCCATCAGTGGTGTTTGAGTCTCCCTTTAACCAGTGCTTTCATCACTGCTGGAAATCACCATTAAAAATTGGAGGGGTTTTTTTTTTGTTTGTTTTTTAATTTTCAAAAAGTAGCAGGTTCTTCTTATTATTTTTTTTAAGTTAATAGGCCGGGCGCGGTGGCTCATGCCTGTATTCCCAGCACTTTGGGAGGCTGAGGCAGGCGGATCCACGAGGTCAGGAGATCGAGACCATCCTGGCTAACATGGTGAAACCCCGTCTCTACTAAAAATACAAAAAATTGGGCACGGTGGTGGGCACCTGTAGTCCCAGCTACTCGGGAGGCTGAGGCAGGAGAATGGTGTGAACCTGGGAGGCGGAGCTTGCAGTGAGCCGAGATCGCACCACTGCACTCCAACCTAGATAACAGAGCGAGACTCCGTCTCAACAACAACAAAAAAAGTTAATAATATAGAATTATAGAAAGTACAGTACATTATTCCCATCTTCCACAAAACTTTTGAGCATCTCTCTACTTTTAGAGTATCATCAAAAGGCTACACTGTAACTTCTGCTGTCTAATCTGGTTTTTATTTAATCTTGGGATATCTCTTCCTTGTCAATACAAAAGATGACCTAACTTTAGTCAGTTAAATGTTTGCCTCTGTCTATGTGTAATTGATATTTTAATATCCTTACTTTCGTGTCCTCATAAGTAGGTTGACTGTCAACCCTGTACACTTGTTCCCTCTTTACTTGCAGATAGTATGAAAGTAAAATTCAACAACCCTTTGATAAGAATAGCATTAACCTCCCCTTATTTTACAAATGAGGAAACTGAGGCCCAGGACTTGCTTGAGCTTTTAAGTCTGGAGCCTGAGAGACAGAATGTAGCACCTAAATCTTCCCGACTTGAATCCTGGGCATTTTTTCTACTAAATCGTACTAACACTTTAGGGTAGTGTAAATAAACACCAATTTTAAACATGAGGCAGCCAAGCCAATAAGACTTATTTTCTATGTTAAAAGACATAGTTTTCATAATTCATGTATACTGTGCCCTCAAAATTGTGTGTTGTATGTTTAAAAAACAGAAATTAAAATATGTCCTAGGCAGAAATGTCTGTTAAAATATTTTGAAATTTATGCCACCCTAAAGCATTAATACTATGATATGTAAAATACTATATCTGTGGCAACTGATTTTAAAATACTTGTGAATTTTTACCTTTTAAATATGCTTTCAAACTGTAAGAATGTATCTAGTTAGTATCTTAGCACCTAGCAGCTGTCTAAATGTAAAATAAAAACAGAGTGATAAACAATAAAGGAAAATAGAAAAACAGGGAATGTGGGCAGTATTTGACCCTTTATTGGCCCCCACCTTCACCATGAATGGACTTGTGCTCTCTCTAGCCTACCAACAGATTGATTCCAGAAGTTTGAGCTAGTTGTTTGGGATTTGGAATGCATTTTCTTATAGAAACACTGTTCTCCAGAATGGCTGGGTTTACCACAAGCCCACCAGAGTCAGCCTAACTGAATCCACGTGGTAATGAAACCCCAGGCCCATTCTGAGTTCTGGTGGCGAGCAATGGAGGTGGGCCTCCCCACCCACTAATACCCCTCAACCCACTGCATACCTGCATTTCTTGTGCCTGTGGCAGCAGTTGGGCCATAGACCCCTGGAGACCCCTGTGGCTGCTGGGAGCAGGGCAGCCAAAACATACGAAAAGGTATTTTCAGACGTGAACCGTAGTAGGGCGTGGAATTGGATCCCAGCTTCTCAAGTGTTTGCGGGGCTGCAGTAGGCAGCACAGAGGTGGGAAGAGGTTTAAAAGTTCAAGTTTTTGCTTGCAGAGATACCATGTGGGTAGAAAAGTTGTCAATCCTGGCAATAGGAAGGCAAAGACTGAAGGTTGTGGGTGGGAGACTCCGAGGGAGGCTGAAGAGAAGGGCAAGTGTTTATACGATGGAGACGCTCAAGTTCAGGACTGCCTGTATTAATTCACGTTTTGTAGACACGCTGATCATGAGCATCTCAGGTATTAGGTGTATATTGGTGTAATTCTTCCAGAGGGTATGTTGGCAAGACTACTCGTAATTAAAAATGCACATATTCTTTGACTCTGAAATTCTGCTGCTGGGAATTTGTCCCACAGATAAACTCAAGTGTGTGCATAGATGATGTTTGTGAAAGCAGAAAGCTCAACAACATGAATGTCTACCAATTAGGTACTGGTTAAATAATGTTACACTGATACGGTGTAACGCCATCAGGTGTGAAAAACAATGAACTAGATCTATGTGTATATATAGGACAAGACCTCTGAAATGAATGAGAAAAAGCCACATACAGAAAAATGGCAATTAAGTTCCCATTTAGTTGAAATTATACATATATTTTAGTATTTAATTTTAGATAATTTTAACAGAAACTGACATGTGTCTGGAAGAACATACAAGGCTACTTGGGTGTTTGGGTAGGAATGGAGACAAAGTATTTAAAACTCTGAAACTCCTACATGTTGCACATGTACTCATAAGTGTGTATGTTTTTAAACAAATATTGTATAATGAGGCTGTGCATTATATATATTTATATCTATTAACAGTTATTTTCTTCAGCAATGGGGGAAAGCGTCACGTGTATTTTTTTCCTGTGTCTTTAAGCTGTGCTGGGCAGCTAAGGATGCCATCTAGTATGTGAATTAGTCTCACATTCAAGGTAACAAGAGGCTAAGCTTGTTTTTCACTCCTTTGGTCTTCAGATCCCGGCCTGTGATTAATATTCAGAAAACCATCACAGTAACTCCTAATAGAATTGACCTCCGCCAGAAAACAGCGTGTGGGGCGCCTAGCGGGATATGGTGAGCGTCTCTCTGTCTTGGTGGGATCCCCCTCAGTTTCCCACCTCCACTTCATGATGACTCTGTTGTCCTGAGGAGCCCCAGGGAAGATGTCGGGAGAGCTGGGCAAAGGGAAGAGGGTCTGTCAAGTGTTTCTATAACATGTTGATCATCAGTGGGCAGTGGGGGGATTGAAGAGCTAGGGAACATGTTGGGTTTTTTCCACTGCAATAATGGATCTTTTAAGAAATATGTGTTTGATTTTATTCAGCCTCCAGGTTAAAGCCTGTTTTGAATATACTGCTAAACCCGCTGGTTATAATCCTTCAATATGTAAGTACCTAGTACCTTTAAAATATGTGTATTTTCTGTCTGCCAGGTTGAAAGTTCTGCATAAATCACAGAAAAATAAAACTGTAGTGGCCAACATGGGTCTGTCAATTCTTGTGTAAAGAATTAAGTGTATATTTTGTCTCCCTTGTAATCAGGAGGGCACAGCACAGTGAGGGAGGAAAAAACTCCACTTGGTCGCTGCTTGAGTTTTCCAGAGCAGATGGTTTAGGACAGAATGGCTTGGAAAAGTACTTATTTGCCACCACAACCGTTTCCTCCGTTTCTGTCTTTGAAAAGCAGTGTGGAAAATTGATTTTGTGGTTGTGAGGTGGTGGGTGGTGGCTGGTGGTTGTGAAAGGGCAACGGCATGAGCCAGAGCACGGCACAGGCTCGCTGCCAGGCTGCCTTCTGTTCCCCACGCCTCTCCCTCCCAGAACACCCGCCCTGTGTCTCAAGAGCAGGCCCCTGGGGAATTTGCAGGCCAGCCCTGAGAGGTCAGAGGCCTGGTCTCAGCTTTGATGCTGACTGGCCCTACAGCACAGGGCAAGTCCCTTAACATTTGAGTTTGTTTTCTCATCCGTTCAGAACAATACCTAATAGTCATTAGGGCATACAGTTGTGCTGGAGATGAACTGAGAAGACATGAAAAGCAGTTTGTCATTTATTAGATACTGTTCTGCTTCTTTTCTTTGTAATTCAAAATAAGATTTTTAAAATTAATTTTTGTGGGTACATAGTAGGTGTACATATTTATGGGGCAAGACAGGATTTTTGACAAGAATTTTGACACCGTTAATGATGCTCTTTAACAATAGTGGCCGTAGTAAGCTCTCCTCTGGCGTGTTTTAATAGCAGCCACACTTCTTCAGCTGTGAGTCACCTGACCCCTGGCTCCAGAGTCAAGGCCAAGGGCATAGGAATTCCAAGAAAATCTTTTCTCCAAAGAGGAAAGTGAAAAGTATGAGGAAATTCTCATCCCAGGTCTGGCCATGCTCCTGGCAGTTTGGGATACTGGTGTACTGTATCTGCCACCAAGGGACACTTTGTGAAGACCAAGGTCATTCTGTCCTTTGATATGGTTGTTAGCCTTTACGATACTATGAGGTAATGAGTCCTCTGAAGTGTTCTTTCTGTTATCTAAAGTAGTACTGTTTTCTTTCTTTAAAAAGGTGTCCCTTATAATATTCCAGAATGTAATGTAATTCAAATAACCTTAAAGTTGTTGCTTGAAACAGGAAAAAAATAGCCACATAAGGACTAGGGTTTGCGATGGTGAATCCTCTCACACGTCACAGCTCTGTTCTTAGCTGTACTCTAATTCTTCTTTAATTTTATATGAAGTTTTATGTAACACTAATGAATGTATCTACTAAGGCAACAGAATGAAGATACTGACCTGTGATAAAGTTCAATGAATTAAGAAAAGGAACAGTTTAAATAAATGTACTATCTTTAATTTTTTTTTAAGTCCCCGTTCACCCGATTCTTACTGTCATAAGCTCACTTAGCCTTCATCTTTCCAGATTTCCAGCTGTCTGCAGGTGGTTTCTCCATCTCCCCATCTGTGGGGTCGTCTCCTGCTGTGTGGTCTCTCCACGGGACCTGCAGACCTTGCACGAAGCATTCTTAGAGTGGACGGATTATGACTTCGTGCACAGGGGGAGCTGTGGCCTTTTTGCTTTGCTTTTTGACGCAGCCGGCATTTTGTCGAGTGTAGAAAGCAATTCTTTGTGTGACTTTTAATGACAAGAAAATGTGTTCCGTGACTCTTCAGGATCTATCATCCTTTCAGTATCATTTGTGTTATTTTTACCCAAATGCCATACCTTATACTACCCCACTTGGATAACAAGCCCTTTGCCAGTGTTTGAAATGAATTAGAGAGACCAGAAGAAAACAGTGATTCTTTGACTAGGCAGCCAGAGAAAAAGGGGAAACATTTTTATTCTATTCTGATGGCCATTTTTTCAAACCACTCTCAGTTTGACTGTAGATGTGAAATCTCATTAGAGCACTCCTTGTCTTCCCCCAAATTAATGACCTGTATAAAATATAGACTTTCTTCTAGCTGTAGTGCAGCACTTGATGCCATGTGTATTACTTTTACGTTATGTAGCTACTCCATTAACCAAGTGTTTATGGATGGCCTATTATGGGTGAAACTTTCCTTTGAAGACATTCAAAGAACATTTGCTTTCATTGCTTTTACGTCAACAGTAAATTCTAAATGAACTCTAAGACAGAACTTCTACAAAGCTACATAAGTTAATACATTTAAAATCTCCTCCCAGTATCCAAGAATGTGAGCTTATTGTTTGACCAGGCTGCTTTAACTCAGCAGTCCTCAGATGCGGTGTTCCATACATATAGATATCTATAATTGAGCCGTAATGAGTGTTCTACTTAGCTTGCCCCTCAAGGGGTCAGCAAAGGTGGCCTGCAAAGATTTTAAGATGATGTGGACTGTCTGGAGGGTTAGGGAAGGTTAGAGTGAATTTGGCAGATAAGCGGTTTTCCTGCACCCACACCTCCCATACTTTTGCTGTGAGGGGCACTCAGCGTGTGAGCCTTTATCTGGTTCATTGTGAAGCTAGCAGGTCACTTACAAATGGATGATGTCAAGGCTGCAGAGGGCCTAGAAAGGGGGAACATTCCATTTGGCAGCTGTGACATTTAAGAATTCTCCAGATGGACACAAAAATTACTATTGAAACTGTCAGTGTGTCTGAATTTTGGTCTGAATTGCTCACATTCAGCATAAGAATGTCACATCGTGTGTGTGTGCATGAGTGTGCAAGTGGGGAACCCATTTCTTCCACTTCTGTTCATTTGTTCTGTATATGTCTATCAGGTGTTGTGCTAGTTGCTGGGGACTGTGGTGGGGAATAAGACTGATGGGGTCCTTGTCCTTGTCCTCAGCTTTGCCCCACTGTGGGAGAGAATCAGGAAATCACAGCGTAGTGGGTCTAGGTGTAGAGACTGGAGAGATGGAATACTCTAGGATCGCGAGGAGAGGCCAGGACAGGCTTTCTGGAGGAGATGAGGTCCAAGCTGAGATTTGAAGGGGAAGGGAGGGCTTAGCCAAGCAGGCCAACCCTGCTGGGAGGTGGAAGGGGAAAGAAGGGAAAGACAGCTGGCTGAGGGAAGGAGTGACTCCTGCAGTGGCCAAGAGGCAAGTGAGACCTGGGCATCTAAGACCCTGTGGAAAGCAATCACCTTTTGTGTTTGTGATAGAGACTTAGAAGCTGGTGCTGCCTCTGTCCCTCTCAGTATGACCCCAAGCCTCCCCAGAAAAGGTCTCTTCCAACTCTAAAGTGAATATTAGAATGTGAGTTATTAATTTTCTGTGTTTTCTATAGCAGATTTTTGTCCTGGAGGTTGCCTTCTCCAGCCCTCCACACACTTTGGTTTGCTTTCCCTTTTGATGGTTAGTGAGTGCTTAATGAATGTAAGTAATTTAAGTATTGGCCCATGAAAAACACAGTTAGCAGCCACATCTAATGAACCAACAAAGAATGTGTTCTGAAGTCAAAAAATGAGATTCTGATCGTCCACATCCTGGCTTCCCTACAGGTTCTATTAGTGTAGGTTATCAAGAACAGGCTGTGCCTTCTAGCCCAGTGCAGGGTAGGCAGTTTAGTTGTAGGAGCTATATTATGCTGACAGGCCCTCTATCCACTCAAAAATATATAATTTACCTCTTAATTCTTTTTTATCTTTTTTATTATTATTATTATTATTATTTTGAGAAAGTTTCACTCTTGTTGCCCAGACCGGAGTGCAATGGCATGAATTTGGCTCACTGTAACCTCTGCCTCCTGGGTTCAAGCAATTCTCCTTCCTCAGCCTCCCGAGTAGCTGGATTACAGGCATGTGCCAACACGCCCAGCTAATTTTTGTATTTTTAGTAGAGACAGGGTTTCACCATGTTGGTCAGGCTGGTCTCAAACTTCTGATCTCGGGTGATCCACCCACCTTGGCCTCCCAGAGTGCTGGAATGACAGGTATAATTCACTGCGCCCGGCCTCTTTTATTTTTTAAGGTAAAGGTCTCATCCTACTGTTGAAAGACTTCTCCGTCTCTAAAATATATTATTCCTCTTTCTAGACAACTATCCTTTATCAGTGCTTCTTAAAACTTCAATATGTATAATAATCATCTGGTGATGCTGTTATTAATAACACAGATTCTGGTTCTGTAGGTGTAACTGGGCTTGAGGTTCTGCATCCTCACAGGCCCTCAGGAGATGCTGCTGTTCTAGAGAGACCTTTTCCAAATAGCAAAGGCACGAGGCCACTTGAATAAGCAGTGACTGTTTAAAGGGAGAAAATCAGTTTAGGTCCTCAGGGGGAGTGTTGGGTTTTTCTACTTATCCTTAGTGTTCTGTGGGTTCATGAGCTTCAGCCAGAAACTGATTCTTAATAACTGCTGAAAGGTTTTAACTTATTCTTGAGCTCCCCCAGGTGGCACAATGAAAAGTTAACTTTGAAACATTGTTAACAGCAAAAGGAAGGAAAAGACAGCTTGATTTGAACCATCACAGTTGTGTGAATGCATGTTACCAGGAAATTTGAAGAGAAACAACGGCAATGTTTTCTATAAGAAATTAAAATCTTAAAAGGAGTTCAATATGCTTGTGGCTGGATTGTGCATGAATGCACTTACATTAATATGATTTTAATTTTATCTAGCAATTGTGGGCACACTCGAAGCTGAAAAAGAAAGAAGAAAATCTGGGCTATCCTCAAGAGTTCAATTTCGAAACCAAGGTTCTGAGCCCAAATATACTCAAGAACTAACTCTGAAAAGGCAGAAACAGAAAGTGTGCATGGAGGAAACCCTCTGGCTACAGGTGAGGGCTGTGGACGGTCACATCTGTTTTATGAAGAGGACAGAAAAAGGTTATATGGTGATATACAGATTTCTTAAATTTATTCTAGCAACCTCTTAATCAATACAAAATCATTGTTTTGGAATTCCCCGATAGGATTTATACCCCCACTTAACTGTGACTGCATGCTTTTCAGGATAATATCAGAGATAAACTGCGTCCCATTCCCATAACTGCTTCAGTGGAGATCCAAGAACCAAGCTCTCGTAGGCGAGTTAATTCACTTCCAGAAGTTCTTCCAATTCTGAATTCAGATGAACCCAAGACAGCTCATACTGATGTAAGTCTCTCTGACTCTCATTTTGCCAAAGTTTTTGCCATTTATGGTGCTAAATCAAATGCCTTTGAAGGGAATAGAACTAGTGATTTGCTTTAAAGGCCGTTCTTTTGTGTTAATATGTTTTTAATGTATGCAAAGTTAGAGAAGACTTGTTTCCCAAATTAGCAATAAACATATAAAACATGAAATACGATTTGGGGCCAGAATGTATTTTCCTTCTCCATTTTTGGCCATTATAACTTATCGAGACTATAAATGGTAGAGCTTACATTCTCACACTGTTTCTCCGTTAGCTGTACGTAGAAAGAAAAATACATTGTGTTTTACAATTGAGAACACTGAAATACAGAAAGCAAATATATTGCTAGTCAGAACATTAAAATCAAGGAATAGCAAAATTCAGCAAAGCAAAAAAGTATTATTAGCATACAGTAGTCATTTAGTGCCTAATATAGCCTAAGTCATCTTTGGAAGAAAAATGTATATTAGATGGTCTGCTGGATACTTCATATGAGGTGGGGTCTGTTTGCTAGGGGTTTAGGATGGTTAAGATGCAAGGTTAGCCCGGGGAGCTATGACAGCTTGATTTGGCATTATGTTCTTGCTTTCAAAATCTAATTGATGATGGCCAGGTGTGGTGGCTCATGCCTGTAATCCCAGAACTTTGGGAGGCCAAGGCGGGCAGGTCACTTGAGGTCAGGAGTTTGAGACCAGCCTGGCCAACATGGTGAAACACCATCTCTACTAAAAACACAAAAGTTAGCGGGTATGATGGCGCATGCCTGTAATCACAGCTACTCAGGAGGCTGAGGCAGGAGAATCACTTAAACCCGGGAGGTGGAGGTTGCAGTGAGCCGAGATGTCTCCACTGCACTCCAGCCTGGGCAAAAAGAGTGAGACTCCATCTCAAAAAAAAAAAAAATGTAATTGATGATGAACGTCTGTCCACTCTGGGGCTCCTGGTACTGGTGCCTTACTGAGGCAGCTTTGCAGAAGTGAGTCCTCACTGTCTCAGGCTCAGGAGCTGATGCTTACATCTGCACATTGTCAGTCATTTTTGTCACCAAATATAGTTCCTTATATTTCTGTATATCTTTATGTGCTTTTGTTATTATCATGTTAATATTTCTTGTGTACATTCCCAGCTCCATAGCTAGAGATGATTTTCCTATTTATCAGTATGATTATCAAGCACCCATTAGCATGGTACTAGCATGCCGTTTGCTTACCTGACCTTAAGCTGTTTCCTCATCTCTACAATGGGAATCATAATAATAGTATCTTTCTAGAGGCCTGTCATGAGGATTAAATGAGTTAAGATATGTAAATCGAGTATTATAATCGTTGGCATGATCATTATTATTGATACTTCTTACAATAGCCCTATAAAGTTAGAATGGTGGTATCTGCACGTGACCTATGATGAAACTAGAACTCTGAAAGGTTAAGTGACTTGCTAGCTAAGTAAGGGGTAGAGCTGGGTTTCAAACCCAAATCTTTGTGGCTGCTGAGTGACACTCTTCTATATCACACTGCCACCATGCCCTGGTCAAAGTGTTCTTCAAACACAATTTTACTAAAGGACAGAATGGGAATTCGATGTGTGACAGAGTACATTTAAAGCTTGAATTCTGCAATGGTGATTGTCACACAGGGAAATGAACTGTGTGGAATAGCCAGTCACTTACATCGATGCCTTCCTAAGTCCTGAATGGTGTAAATTGACAATAGTTTCGTTTTCCTACAGGTGCACTTCTTAAAAGAGGGATGTGGAGACGACAATGTATGTAACAGCAACCTTAAACTAGAATACAAATTTTGCACCCGAGAAGGAAGTCAAGACAAATTTTCTTATTTACCAATGTAAGAATCGCTCTGTAGCACTAGCAAAAATGATTCTGGCTTCACGATAGCTTTGTGTTAAGAAAGTTTACTGGAAACGTATTGAGGACTTTGCCTTTTTGTTCTTTTTGTTTTTTTTTTTTTAATAGTCAAAAAGGTGTACCAGAACTAGTTCTAAAAGATCAGAAGGATATTGCTTTAGAAATAACAGTGACAAACAGCCCTTCCAACCCAAGGAATCCCACAAAAGATGGCGATGACGCCCATGAGGCTAAACTGATTGCAACGTTTCCAGACACTTTGACATATTCTGCATATAGAGAACTGAGGGCTTTCCCTGTAAGTATTGTTAGAGACCAGCTGAGAGGGAAAAAGCCAACACTGTGCGGCAAATGGGTGGATTGTGACCTAGTGCGTGTTTCTTTTACAGGAGAAACAGTTGAGTTGTGTTGCCAACCAGAATGGCTCGCAAGCTGACTGTGAGCTTGGAAATCCTTTTAAAAGAAATTCAAGTGTAGGTGATGCCTTCATGTACTATATTTTACTGTTTTAAATACCATTGCAGTGTCAGTACGCATGGCCTGTGTTAACAGCTATTTATATTTTTATAGGTTACTTTTTATTTGGTTTTAAGTACAACTGAAGTCACCTTTGACACCCCAGATCTGGATATTAATCTGAAGTTAGAAACGTAAGAGTTACATCAACCTCTCCATTCAGAATTATTTCATGAAAACATGGGCAGTCAATGAATTGGCCCTGATCTACCTCATAAAAGAAGTCTAATTGTAGTGAGAAAACTGACTGGTAAAATACAACCCTATTGTTTCCTTTTCATTTTCAGAACAAGCAATCAAGATAATTTGGCTCCAATTACAGCTAAAGCAAAAGTGGTTATTGAACTGCTTTTATCGGTCTCGGGGTAAGTGTTTGTGTTTAGCATAACAAATCAATGTTTGAAAGAACCATTTACAATCCTCACTAAAACTAGTGCTTTTTAATTTGACAGAGTTGCTAAACCTTCCCAGGTGTATTTTGGAGGTACAGTTGTTGGCGAGCAAGCTATGAAATCTGAAGATGAAGTGGGAAGTTTAATAGAGTATGAATTCAGAGTAAGTTGGAGCAGTTGGTCTTTTCATTATACCAAAAGCTGATCTATACTAGGTATGGTCTTGAGTATGTCATTTTAATAAATCAGCAATACTAATAAGCATTATAAATAAATCATCAGTTAAAAATTAGTTTGACAGCTTTTAAAGAACATACTGGCTTTTGTGAAAATTTCATGCTCCGGGATGGAGAACAACTGTCACTGTTCAGAATCCAGTTCAGTTTAGAATGCGTTATGATTTATTCTTTCCTCCTTTATAAGGTCATCTTTCTTATTGCTTGTGTTTGAAAGAATATTAATGTTATGCCTGCCTTTCACAAGCCCAGTTTTGTGGTGAATGTAGATTTGGTGTATGCCTGTAGGAAAGGCAGTGACTGGCTCTGAACCATTTCAGAGTAGGCAATCAGTGACTGTTAGTCCTGTTGAATAAACATAAACATATGGTACGGAGTCTGCTCGTAACTCACACATGGGTTTAGGTCTGTGGCTGAAATCACATTCCTGAAGGCATAGTGACCATTGTGGTGAAAGCCTCAAATGGCAAGCATGGGCCCACCTCTGACTCCAGCAGAATGAAGAGGCTGAATTCTCCTCTGTGTGTCTCTCAGCATTATAGACACAGCTGGGGCAGGCGGTGGTGGTGGTGGTTATGATCTCTATGCAGGTGCAGTTGGAAAAGAAGTCTTTGGATTCTGGAACAGTCTCCACACTAAGAGGGCTCTTACCGCCTGTGTTTGGCTTCTGCCGCAGGACGTCGCTCTGTTCCCAGCTTGGACTCTCAGATTTGTGGCTGTCCTGATGGTTTTGCAGAATCTCCTCTGGGACAGAGGCAGCTTCATTTTTGCAGTGGATGGGGTTTTCCAGAAGCAGGTTGTTGGTACACTGCCTTGGCCCAGGCCTTGTCATTGGCCAAGCCGGGTGGTTACAGGGCAGTTCACAAATCCACACATGATTTTCCCTGGGCATATGTTGAGAACATGGTATATCTGCTGATTCTGTTGCATACAGCAGTTGTTCCTAGAATGAGTTAGCTATCGTTTGTCCTTTGACCTTTTTGTTTTTATTTATAAAAATCTTTAGGTACAAGTCTTTATTTTGAATGCCCTATCTCTAGTCCAGTTTTGGAGCCTGTGCTTTAAGGATTATGCTAGATATTTTAGCTTCTTTCCCTTGGTAATAGGAGCTGCTACTTAAATTTACATTGAGAAGATTAGACTGAGATAATATGTATTATTTTCTAACAGGTAATTAACTTAGGTAAACCTCTTAAAAACCTCGGCACAGCAACCTTGAACATTCAGTGGCCAAAAGAAATTAGCAATGGCAAATGGTTGCTTTATTTGGTGAAAGTAGAATCCAAAGGATTGGAAAAGATAACTTGTGAGCCACAAAAGGAGATAAACTTCCTGAACCTCAAGGTATGTTGGTAGATTTATCTAATGTCTCCATAAATGCAAATTAGAGAAACTCACTTTTTGGGGGAAAATCATTACTGTCCTTAGGAAACTGGCATTCTGGCAGGTGGGTTTTTTCTTTGGTTGTCACAATTTCTCTTTTCTAGTTGAGTAACTGAGGCAGGCTGAGGCATTTTGCTGGTTAGTGACCATTATAGTACATAAGGCAGAGTCATTCAGTGTTTGGTGAGGCAAATGGCATTTTCTGACATCTCGTCATGACGCAGTATGTTACATAATAAGGAGAACTGGGGGATGCTCCTGGATAATAGTAGCTGCTATTACCTAGGGGCCAGCCAGTGTTCACTCCAAGTAGAACCAGACTCATTGGAAGAGATAATGGCATCTTAGCAAGTAACCTTGTAAAGCTTTTTATGCTTAGTTTTAAAATAGTAATTATTTACTGTGTACTTATTGTGTCTCAGGAACTATGCTAAGCATTTCGTTTGCATTTTCTCATTTCATTCTCTGGATGGGCCTATGAGGGAGTGTCATTATCCCCACCATTTTATAGATGAGGACATTAAGATTCAGAGAGCAAGTAACTCTCTCAGCCACTCAGGTGTTAAGAAACAGATTCCACATGCAAACCCTGCTCTGCCTGATGTCAAAGCCTGTACTCTTAACCCCTCTCTATACTGCTCCATGCTTAGATAACTGGCCTGTCATTTCTGTTCCAGTTCGATGAAGGTTTGTGTGTTTATTTCTTTTATTTTAAATTCTAAGGTGACTGGGTATGATCAGTGATCAGAGTTGATGGCTTAGCATGATCTTCTACTCATTAATGTTAAAAATCAAGATAATCCATTATTACTAATCTTTGTGCCGGGCGCAGTGGCTCAAGCCTGTAATCCCAGCACTCTGGGAGGCCGAGATGGGCGGATCACAAGGTCAGGAGATCAAGACCATCCTGGCTAAGACGGTGAAACCCCGTCTCTACTGAAAAATACAAAAAAACTAGCCGGGCGAGGTGATGGGCGCCTGTAGTCCCAGCTACTTGAGAGGCTGAGGCAGGAGAATGGCGTGAACCCGGGAGGCGGAGCTTGCAGTGAGCTGAGATCTGGCCACTGCACTCCAGCCTGGGCGGCAGAGCGAGACTCCGTCTCAAAAAAAAAACAAAAAACTAATCTTTGCTATAAGGAAAATGCAATTTTAAAAGTTCTTGTATGGCTTAGTTTTCATTGCTCTGCTCTGAATGAGCTATATAATGGGTGTTTTTCCTTCTTTCTCTGTTCTTGAGTGTCACTTATTCCTTCAAGATGTGCTGACCACCATGTTTTAGAAACAGAGCTGGAGGCTAGCGATACAGGAATATTTGATCTCTGATCTCAGTATGCCCACAGTTTGGTGGGGATACAGAGAAACAAAGAAAGCATATTTCTTTTTCTCTGAGTTTTTAGGTCAGAGTGGGAATGCATTACTTAGTCCTATGAGTAAATCAATAAACTTGAATTTAGAGTGATAATACTTGCTGGTTTTACACTTATTTCTGTGCCTTTGGCAGGAGAGAGGCAAATATTGTTGAGTGTGTGAATCTGGTACTGTTCAGGAGGGTATGCTCAAGAGGCTTGTATGGTAGCGACAAAGAATTATGTACATTGGAACTAGTTTGGATGTAATTTTTTTTAGGAGTCTCACAACTCAAGAAAGAAACGGGAAATTACTGAAAAACAGATAGATGATAGCAGAAAATTTTCTTTATTTGCTGAAAGAAAATACCAGACTCTTGTAAGTATTTTTCAAGAGCTGTGAATATTTGAGAGGATGAGGGGAAGGACTTCTTCAGAACAATGTCTTTTGATGACTATTCTTCCTTTTCTCTCTAGAACTGTAGTGTGAATGTGAACTGTGTGAACATCAGATGCCCGCTGCGAGGGCTGGACAGCAAGGCGTCTCTTATTTTGCGCTCGAGGTTATGGAACAGCACATTTCTAGAGGTATGACCTTGGCGTGAGGATGTCCCATGGAATTAATTTGCCTCTGCCTAGGACACTTCTCACTTCCCTAATGCATTCACTAACCGTCTCCAAACAGGAATATTCCAAACTGAACTACTTGGACATTCTCGTGCGAGCCTTCATTGATGTGACTGCTGCTGCCGAAAATATCAAGCTGCCAAATGCAGGCACTCAGGTGAGAGGTTCCCCAGCTTCATTCAGGTTCAGAACAGGTCTCTCCTCCTGATACCCCACACTCATGTCCTGAAGTGCTTTGGTGCTCATTTCCCTCGTAGCCCCATTATGGAGAAAATAGTGTCTTGAGGTACTAGCACTACAAGCTGTATTGTAATAGAATCATTGAAAAAAAGAAGTAAATCCTAGGGTCATCCAGTTCAGCAGTGCCCATGGTAGGTTTGAGAACTATTGGCTTAATTGAAAGAAGGGTATACCTCACAGCCTTCTAGAAACCTGTATCTTCTACCATCTCCAATGCTGCAGCCATTGGTGTAATGCCCCAGTGATGGCCCATGTCATGGCCAGCTGTAATTATTAGAAAAGATCTCTTCATAGCTGAATCCTGAGCTGAACCTTGTGAAGTAAGTCCCTGGTTATGCCCCTCAAACAAGTCTAAAATAAGTTCTGTCTCTTGACCATGGAGCAGCCTCTCAAATAATTGAAGGAAATGATCATGCCTCCTTGGATGTTTCTTATTCTTCTCAGAGCTTACACACCCAGCTCTTGAGTTGTGCGTCACATTGGGCACAGCCCAACCAGCTCCTGGTCTCTCCCTTCCTGGGCAGTGTGACTCCCACGTGGACAGAGCAGCTAAGGTGGGGTCTGCTTGTCCCACTTACCCTGGGGCCTTTACCTCTCAGCATCTCGGCACCACACTTCTGTCAGACCTACCTAGAATTTGGTTTTTCAAACCATTGCTGAGCAGCATGTTTGAATTTCCAGCAGCTGCTATTTTTGTGTTAGTGTTCTACTGAAACTTCCAGGTGTTTTCATCAGAATTTGTTGTCAAGCTGTGTTTCCAGTATCCTGTCCTTGAGCTATTTGTAAAAATCTAAATGTATGCCTTTAAGTGTATCCTTACATTTTATGTGATTTGCTTTCGGTCCATTGTTTCAGTTTGCAAAGTAACTTTGCATCTTGCTTCATCATTTGCTTTCTCAACTTTCTATCACTGAAAGTTTTAAAAACTGAGAAGCATATTCTCTCTCTTCATCCAGGTAATGACAAATATGTTGAACAGGACTAGTTGTAGAACCTTGCAGTGAACCAATAGTGAGGGGTTCCCTGTGGGAGTCTAGAACCCACAGGGACTTGTATAAAGATCTCAAGGCAGAATGACTGCATGTCATGGTGGGAATCGTGAATGGGAATATTTTGCAAAAGAGACTAGAGAAAGAAATACTGTGTGAATTACTGCTCTTAATCTGCCAGTCTACTTACGGAAATGTTCTGGCTTCAGTCATTTAACTAGCTGAAAATTCAGGGAGCCTCCCTAATCATTCTGTTTTCTGAAATATAGTGGTCCTTATAATTTATTATCCAAACAAGAATACATTTTTGTTATTTATTTTTTTGAGATGGAGTCTTGCTGTCTGTTACCCAGGCTGGATGCAGTGGCACAAACACGGCTCACTGCAGACTTGAATGCCTGGGTTCAAGCAATCTTCCTGTCTCACCTCCTGAGTAGCTGGGACCACAGGCATGCCACCACAGTTTTTTATATAGCCAGAGTCTCACCATGTTGCCCGGGCTGGTCTTTAACTCCTGGGCTCAAGCAATCCGACTGCCTCAGCCTCCCAAAATGCTAGGATCATAGGTGTGAGCCACTGCACCCAGCCTCAGGATACATGTGCCTGAGAAAAATGCTGTACTGGGAAAGCTGCTGGGATAAATGGTATCAACCAGCACTGCCCTGGTCTCTCCAGGACATATCAACAGGCATCATAAGGGACTTTCAGATAAACCACACCTTCCCTAAGGATCTTTTCTCTGCATCTATAAAGGCAGCAGGTATAGCTTTCTATAACTGTAAATCAGCAACTCTGAAAACCACTGAGATTTCAGAGCTAGACAGAGAACACTTCAGAGGGAAGGGACGGGACTAACATTAATGAAGCCTTAATAAAATGTCTACAACTTACTAGATACTTTATACTCTATCATTTAAACTTCAGAAGAATGCCAAGGGTAGACATTGTACTCATTTTACAAATAAGGAAGCAGACTCAGAGAGGGGATATAATTTGAGACCCTTGATTGAAACCCATAATTGTCTGACTTCAGGGCTTCTGTTCTTTGACTTTGTGACACTTGGTCCCCAAATCTCAAATTTAGATAAGAAAACTGAATCCAAGGAAAGATATCTCCCCCTCAGGGTCACTCTACCAGCAAGTAGAGCTGAGACCAGACCTTGGGTCTGATGTCTCCTCTTCAAGTGCTCTCTTCTGGAAGATGATGGCACTGGGGGCCCCGGTATCCAGTCTAATGACTGGGTCACAAATGAAAATTAGGTTATCTTGGGCATTTTATGTTCTTAGAGCCTGGAGAACTCATGCCTCCCAATGGGAATTGATGTCTTCACAAATTGGTAGATTTGTGAATGGGTTACTGGTCTCATATCTAGAACCCATGTCTTTTGAAAATTGAGACATTTTCTTAACTTCTAGTCTTCTGATACCTTTTCTGTTTTCTGAAATACAATAGCTCAGATGTCATATCTGCACATTTCTTTAGTAGTTTAAGCTGTAGTTTTTCTGGGCTTGAAGATCTGAGCTTAATTTGGCTTAAGAAAGCAAAAAAAAAAACAAAAAACAAAAAACTTTGTTTCTTTAAAACCCAACCAATTTCAAGAGTTTTGTGTTTACCTTTTAATAAAACACAGTTAAACTTTGGGAGCCCAAGGCAGGCGGATTGCTTGGGCCCAGGAGTTGGAGACCAGCCTGGGTAACATAGCAAAACCCCATCTCTACAAAAAAAATACAAAAATTAGCCAGGTGGGGTGGCACATGCCTGTATTCCCAGCTACTTGGAAGGTTGAGGTAAGAGGATCACCTCAGCTCAGGAAGTCGAGGCTGCAGTGAGCCAAGATTGCGCCACTACACTCCAGCCAGGACAACAGAGTGAGACCCTGTCTCAACACAAACAATAAAAAACACTTTTAAATTAGGATACTATTATAATGAAGTCAGGGAGAGCAGAAGTCACATAATTGAGCCAGGTAAGCCACGCTATATTTTAGCATCAATTAAATTAAATCCATCTTGTTAATAAACACCTATGAAAGGCACATGTATGCCTTCCCTGTGCTAAATGCTAGAGACGCCAAGTTGGGTAAGATACAGTGTCAATTGTTAAGAATGTCATGCTGTAGGAGACATAACCAGGAAAACATTGTCAAATTAGCCAAGGAAGTTGAGGTGGATTGTTTATTGGTTGTATTTATATGTCCCCATTTATCCCTAAAGAAGCAAGTAGAGAGTATCCAAGCTGTCAAATATATTTTTTAAATGACCATAAAAAGTGTGTAATTCTTCAGGGGAATAAGATTTTCCCTTTTGGCTCTAAATTCAGAGAACTTAAGATATGGATCCTTTTATAAGATGGCTTCTTATATGAGAAACACCAAGAGTGAATGATGTCCTTAATAGATAGTTTTGTAAAAGATACAAAACTATCTTTTGTTTTCACTGGGTGACTTCCTGTACTGAAGTTCAGTGAGAATAGTGGGTGGTACATTACAGAGTAATTTAGAGAAGGTATTTTGGCAGTTGACAAGCTAATGTGGTCTAAGCCTGCCCACTGGTAATCAAATTTAATGCATCAACAGAGCTTATATCTCTCTTCCCCTTATGGGCACATGGTGGATGAGCTTCACAGGTGTGTGTCATCCCCATGGAAATAACTACATTGTAATGAAACCAAAGGTAAGAAATTCTTTTTGGAGTTGTAAAGTTCTACAGTAGTTTCTATTCACCTATTCATCAGTAACAGTTGGTGTGACAAGACAGAACAGGGCTTGGAGCTCTAGGAATCACAGCCTGCCCTGTCTCCCATCTTTGGTCACCTGGCTCTATGGCCAGCTGCCCCTTGTTCTCAATCCCAGCTGGAGAATGACTGTCATACCAAAAACAAAAACAAAAAACAAAAAAACCTTCAGTTGACAGTTTAAGCAAACAAACAATAAAATCTTCCTGAATGGCCTCTCACTCTCCAGAACCACAGAGCACATCTGCCCTTTAAATATGTACCCAACCCAGTCCCTGACTTTGGTCCTCAGTCTTTGATGCCCAGTGAGTTGTTTAACAACATGTGGAAGTTCTGCTGTGAATGGTGCCAGGTCTGGGGCTTAGAGCTTCAGCTGGATTCCCATCCACCCTGCCACTTCAGGCTGCAAAATCAAAAAGTACTTTGCTCATTTGTTACAATGTTGGATCCCAACCATTTATGGGGGTGGCTTTCCTCTATGTCAGCTGTTTTAAAGACACTTGTGCACAGTGTCATTATAATAAAGCTGATTGCCCTTGCTGAAGACCAGTTTCCACTCTCCACTTCCAGATTTCCTGGAACTTATTCTTACAAATGAGGATGGCCCTTTCACATGACCGCCTTGCCCTAAGGACACACTGTATGCCTTCCTTGTGTTAGATAATAGGGCAACAAAGTTAAACAAGATACAGTTTAGGCTAATTGAAATCATCTATTTGGTTTATTTCATTGTAGTCAGCTTACCAACCACATAACTATTCTATTGCTTCACTGGTCTGTTGCTGTTTCTTCTTCCCTTCTTTGTGGATGTCCCTGTGCTGAACCCAGTAACCCCTTCTCTGTCAGGCGAGGAGGGAAGCAGAGGGGAAGTGAGCCACGAGGCCACCTTGGGGCTCAGAGCTTGTAGAAAACCTCACTTAGAGCATAACAGGAAACATGGTGGCTGATAAAGGTGTGTTATGCCTGCCTGTTACCGTCAGTATAATTGGCTAGATCTCAAGATGTGGTTGCTGTCTACTGAATGTTTAAAGAAAAGCATACTGCTTTTAAGTATTTTCTGTAAGTCAGGTGAGGTTGAGAAACTGTTTCCTAGAAGTGGAAAGGGAAGTACTTTGATGAGAGATTTTTTAAAGAAGAACACCACTGCATAGAAGTATCAAAGCACAGTGTAGACATAGCAGCATCCAGGGTTCAATACGGACATAGAATATTTGACTGAAAATGCTCCTCAGAAGTTAAATGCTCCCCCTGAGTTTTGTTTCCCTTTATTTTACATTCTGTTAATTCAGAAATATCAGAAACTTCAAACCAGTAGATCTCTAATCAGTGTCGTTTACAAAATCATGTTCACAGTAATCACCAGGTCTTTAGCATGTTTGGAAAAATAGTTCCTGGTATCACAAAAGTTCATTTGCATTCTACACCCATGTAACTGAGTTGTTGGAATTGCCAGAAGCAGCTTTTTAGGTTTCTGAGTAAACACTATTTCTATTTAATTGGTATTTGCAAACTATCCTATGTTTAGAGTTTAAGCTTCTCAGCAGGAGCAGCAACTTAAGCGCTAAGCTGCCTCTGAGTGGGTCCAGGGTCTAGTTTGTTCATATACCTTTTTATAGAAGATGGCACCAAGCCATTTCAGGAAATGTTACTGTTTATGAAGGTCTTTAGTGTGATATCCTAAGAAAAAGGTAAAATGGTGTCCGTCAGTCATGCAGCCCCATCCCTACTCTTGTATTTCACAACATCTTTAAAGTTTGAATGAGAAAATGTTGGCTACTTGTGCCTAAACTGGCCTTTTTCTTTCCATTGCTGAAAATTAATTAAAAGAAAGTATAGGCCAGGTGAGGTGGCTTATACTTATGATCCCTGCACTTTGGGAGGTCAAAGCAGGAATCACTTGAAGCCAGCACTTTGTGACCAACCTGAGCAAAACAGCGAGACCTTGTCTCAACCAAACATTTAAAAAAAAATTAGCTGTGCATGGTGGCATGCGCCTGTAGTCCCAGCTACTTGGGAGGCTGAGGTGGGAGGATCACTTGAGCCTGGGAGGTTGAGGCTGCAGTGACCTGTGGTCACACCACTTGCACTCCAACCTAGGCAACAGAATTAGAGAGTGAGACCCTGTCTCAA